ACCGCTACCACGTGCTATATCGACACAACGAAATAAACCGGTTTGCAACGTACAACTGAAAAAAAATACATGGAAGATTTAAAGGTGAGATAACAATTAGGATGTAATTTTAGAAAGGAACGGAGTTGACAGAAGTGATGATTCTATCATCCCATTACATCATCACCCTACAAAGTCTTTCATCTCACAAACAAAATTCCCAATGATTCCTGTATATACATCCATCCATCCAAGCAATTATGTCAATATTCACCAAATGCTTGAGTAATCACTAATTCACTATCATCTGGATATAATAACATTAACAATGTTATCAATGTACGATCTCTATTCACTTAATGGAGAGTCCTACGGTGCATCCGCGTGGTGTGCATGGGCTTGCGGTACACCTTAGCACATACTACTGGACCCCTTATATCATACTTACGCTATTTATTATCTAATTAATAATAAATCATCTTCAAAGGCATTAATTAACCCACATTACATTAATTCCATCACATGCATCTATTATTACAATATAAAAACAAAAGACTTTCGTATTCTTCTTCTTCCCAGGGTCTGGAGCTGGAAGGAAGCTTTGAATTTGACTAATGATTGGTTTTGTTCCAACTCATAAACTCATCAATCATCAGTGCCAGTCTCATCCTAATGTTTCTTGGTTAGTAAATGGTATATGATTTCAAATGGCGCGCGATTAATAAACTTGCATTTAGACGCGTTAGACAGTGCTAAAATGTCTTGCCTAGAGGTTTCATGACGAGTTAGAAATCTTAGATGCGACAAGCAAAGTACGGCAACAGCTAGGTGTCGTCTAGGTATAAAAGTTTAATTAGCGAGGGAGCTAAAACGGTCAATATAAATTCAGAAAATTAGCACGAGCTATTATTTTATGAACTCGTGAGTTATTTTTTCTTATTATTAAGTATTTACTATAGGTTATTAATCAATAATTTGAATTAAAATAGAAATATCGTAAAACAACTGTTTCATTCCTTGTTTATAGTACTAACGACTATTTTTGCTTCCACCGCGCCTAGGCGAGCTGCTGGGCAATACCGCATATGCTCGCGCCCTTATATGCCTGACGCATTATTGAACCTAGGTAAATGGTAATAACATCCATTATGGAATCTCTCACAAGTCACAACAATTTGAGTTATCGAGACTAGTTAGTTTATAACACCTGGTTCGGTTTGTGCGTGGTGTGGTGGCGATCTCCTTTATCATTTTTAATGGATCATTTATCCTTCAAAGATAGTCTGCCTTATGACATGTTCACATTTACAACCCTATATAGCACTAGCCAGCTCTTTAGTTGAGGTTACAAAGTAATAATGCTATTTGCTCCATATATCTGCGCAGCTCGTCGGTTAACTTCCATCGAATGCATAAAGCTGAAATCACAGTCACGCTGACAAAATGCAAGGCCGGTTTGGCCATTTTTCCCGTCTTTACATATGCTCAACAGCTGCTGATTCATATACTGAAATATATTAGCTCGTCGATCCATGGATTTGGAGAGTGAAGCATTTGGACGATGTCTATGTATACGTGCAACCTTGAAACATAAAACTTCCTCATCCAATATCGTCCACGTGGCTACATGCAACCTCTTTCTATGGAAATCGGCCAACGAGTACCGTACGTACGTACGTATACAAAAATCAATGCGATATACGTATACGTATACGTAGACTCAAGTTGATAGATCGAGAAGGTGCTCAAGCCGTTTCATTTGTCATGCTCAGGTAAATAACCGATCCCAAAAGTGGGTTGTTTAGCTGGTTCATGACTAGGTAGGTTTAGATGGTTTGTGTAACATTACGATCTTTTTGTTTTACTAAGATAATGTATGTTTGGATTTACTTTTTTTGTTTTTTGTTTTTTTTGTTTTTGGATGCGTCATTATGATTTTCTAAGAGGTTATGTGTTTATGTACATTGTTCTATTATGAACACAGTTCAGAGTTGTTATGAGATTTTTTTTTCCATTTCCAACATAAAACGTGTCTTGTCCATTAAGATTTGAATTGTCACAGCTTATGTCCCATAGGCATAAATCTCTTTCACTTTGTCGATATGAGATTTGGATCAAGTATTATATTTTATTTTATTTTTCCCCTCTCCGTATGTAATCATAATTACAAAGCTCTGGTTTCTTGAAGCATCCTCCGCCGCCGCCGTAGTCATAATAACCATGCATAGTCACGCAACTCCCAAGAAATCTTTATAGGAGTCGTATAACATAATGCATGTTCTATGTACATCGAACTCCCTCGTTCGTACATTATTTGAAGAGGTTTGAACAACGGTAAGAATAATTCGTTTAGTAAAAGGCACAACGCATTCCCTCCACATAATTATTTCTCAACCAATACTAATTAACATCCATGCTCTGAATCTTGGTGATGTAAGTTAACACTATATAAACTATAAAGTAACTGGAATTCAGGGTCTCCATACTATCGTCTAAACTTTAATCACCGAACCCGAAACCCTAAAGTCGATTTAATGAAAATGAATATCGACAATTTTTATTCGATTGCAAGACATCCAACTTCCCAAGATATGTAATAATCAAGAGGAGAAAATTAAGGGGGAATGTTATATTGTTGCATTCTGCATGTAAAGAAAGAAGACGTAAATATGGAAAGAAAAAAAAAGGGGCCATTAATGAATTGAAGCTTTTATTCTGCAAGTAGTTGAGGAATTTTGGCTGTGTTTGTTATACGGTTGGGACATGGAGACGAACACGCTTAAAAGTTAAAGGCGGTCCCGACGAAAGCAAAATAAAATGGGGGAAGGAATGAATAAAAAGGACCCCAAAAAAAAAAATGCATGCAAATGCCAAAAGGCTGTGGTACGGATCATACTCCCCATTTTCAGTCACAGAGACAGAGAAGCACAAAGACAGAAATGAAAGCAATACCAATCAATAATGGGCCCAACCCAACCACCTTTCTTTCTTCATTTTCCCTTTTATATTTTACATATAAGCTTTGCAAATTTCACAGTGAAATTGCTATGTGAAAGCGGTGGCGGATCTAGAATTATTGAAGAGGGATGTCGTCGATAAAAAATTATAATAAATACAATAATTTAATAAAAATTTCATACAAATTATTGAAAATTCATTTATAAGTTCACAACGTCATGTTTACTATGAATTATGACGATTTTTCATATCCTGGAATTTTTTAAAAATACATTCATCGTTAATGTTGCAAATCAAACCTTTTTCGATATACACAACTACATAATTATTCATAAATAAGTCAATCAACCAAAGAGAATCGACCTACGTCTAAAATCAAAGTTAAAATAAATTAGTTTACAATCAAATATAGTAAAGTACAATCTACCAATCGGGAATTTTAGACAAAACAAAGTATGCCTAAAGCAATATCACTAGCATTGTTTCTCTAGTTCTACCAAATTAACCAAAATCAAACCACAATCTCCCATAAATATACGCAATTCACCTATTAACTACAAATCGACAAGTTAAATTGGATTGTGGGTTACTTAAAACAAGCATGCTTATTTGATTTTACTTATTATGATGAAGGTGTGTCGCTTATAATTATTAGGGCGGTGTCGGAAATCTCAAATTAAAAAAAAATTGTACCGAAAAAATGGAGATTGTTCACAAAATTTTCGGGCGGAGGGCCCCCTTCCCTTGCCCTAGGTCCGCCCCTGTGTGGAAGTGTTCGAAATCATGTTGTAATTAAGAGTTGATTACAGTATCATACCATATACGATTAAAATTGTCAAAAGTAAGATGCAATTCGATTCGTACTCGGGTGCAATCAAAATTGGTAGATATATTTAAGAAGTCATTTAGTTGGATGTAAGTGAGAGAATGGAATTTGGAATCAATGTAGTCAAAATTGTGTTTTAAAACTTAAAAACTTAAAAACTTACGGGTTTACGTTTCTAGGTCACTAAAACGCTTCTACGCAATATCACGGTTTTAATAGCTAATGTAGTTAAAAACGCGCTTTAAAACTTACAAACTTATGATTTTACGCTTCTAGATCACCAAGACGCTTCTACTTAAATTCACGCTTTTGACTACATTTTTTGGAATTGAACACAAATATATATTTTTACGTTGATGTAGTAAATTGATGCAGTAAAAATTCTTGATATACCCAGAATCTCATCCAAGTTCTCAAGTGAAACAAAGCCTGTGTTGTTGTAGAATACCCTAAGGACTATCAACATCTCAAAACATTCATCGATTCTAACCAAGATTGGAACTTGTCATGTAGAACCTACTTGGTGAATATAACAACAACAAAACCTACAAAATCTTGCGAAACATACAAGGTTCGGAAGTCACACCTTCCAAAACCACCTCGAAACACTTGTAGACATACACCACTCCAATTTTACCCTTTGAGATTGAAACCCTTGTTAATTAAGTAGACTCAAAGATATCATATGATTATTTGTGGATTTGTGGAGCATGTTGAACCTCATTGAAGGAGCATAATGAACCATAATACACTTATATCCTAACACAGCATATTCCAACCACTATAGAGATAGCAATGTTTGTCACAGTAACATTCCCACCCACCATCGATATGCTAATAAGGTGGAAAAATCATCTCCTTGGACTTAACTATTGTCAAAGAGGGCATGATCAAAACTCTATACAAAAAAGGAACTTCCTATCATCATCATCAAGTACCATATCAATGTAAATGCTTCACTCTCCTCTTGATAAACTTGCCACACCAACACCATACCAAATGCTTCTCCCCTTAACCAAGTTAACTGGATGCTGCTGCCTGCTAGCATTCAAAAATAGCCTTTTGGCCAGAGGCATGGGCTCTCTATCTATCTATCAACTCCATTAAATTATGGTCAAATCCCCCCTATCTCCAACTTGCTTGCCAACTTCCCTCTTCCTGTCTCACACAAACCCAATTTTTATAAAATCCCTTTCTTCTTCCCTTCTGTTTTCTTGCATTCATTCATTCATTCATTACAATAACAGCTCCCTCTTGACCCTCCACTCTTTTTCTTGCCACCTTCCTGTTTGCCTCCCCTCTTCTATCTTCCTGCCACGTGCCCTCTCTCCCATACTCCCACATATAAAACTAAAATAACAGAAAATGGAGCCAAAAAAAGGTCACTTCTTCCTTCTCATTCTCCTCAGTCAGTCAGTCAGTCTTCCCATGAATGAGCTGGATTCAGATTCCGTGTGTGGAGTGGATTTCAAGCTGTTCCTTCCCCCCAATTTCCCCTTTCTACCCTTCAAACCAACCCTATAAATCCCTCTTCTCCTTCTTCCTCTCCATTCCAATTCCACTCCCAACCTCCGAAAAACAATCCCCAATCAGGCAATTACTAACCTGTCTTTATCCTTAATCTTATCCACACATGGATATCTTCAACTCCCCTGTTCTCCCCTTCTCCATCCTCGCCGCCATCTTCGCATCTTTCATCTTCGTCCTGACCCGATTCCTCCGCCGGCGGGGGCCGCAACTGCCCCTCCCGCCGGGATCCCTCGGGTATCCGTACGTCGGAGAGACCTTCCAGATGTACTCGCAGGATCCCAATGTGTTCTTCGCCTCGAAACAGAGCAAGTACGGCTCGATCTTCAAGACCCACATCTTGGGATGCCCTTGCGTCATGATCTCCAGCCCCGAAGCTGCGAAATTCGTGCTCGTGACGAAATCGAACCTCTTCAAGCCCACATTTCCGGCCAGCAAAGAGCGGATGCTGGGCCGGCAGGCGATCTTTTTCCACCAGGGGGATTACCACTCCAAGCTGCGAAAGCTCGTCCTCCGAGCTTTCATGCCGCAATCGCTCCATTACATCGTCCCGCAGGTCGAATCCCTCGCCGTTCATGCGCTCCGTTCGTGGGAAGCGACTCACGAGATCAATACGTACCTCGAAATGAAAACGGTAATAGGATAAAACAGAGCATAAAAAAAAAACAGAGCACTCTGTTTTTTTGGAGGGGAAAGAATGAGAATTGGGGAGGCTAAATTTTTGTTCTTTGATTTGTGGGTTTTGCAGTATACGTTCAATGTGGCGCTGCTGTCGATATTTGGAAACGATGGAGCTATGTACGGGGAGGATTTGAAGAGGTGTTACTATGTCTTGGAAAAGGGTTACAATTCGATGCCGGTGAATCTTCCGGGGACGCTGTTCCACAAGGCGATGAAGGCCAGGAAGGAGCTGGGTCGAATCCTGGCGAAGATCATGGCGGCGAGGCGGGAAATGAAGCTGGACCACAACGACCTTCTGGGTTCCTTCATGGAAGACAAAGAAGGGCTGACCGACGAGCAAATCGCCGATAACGTCATCGGAGTTATCTTCGCCGCCAGGGACACCACCGCCAGTGCTCTCACCTGGGCTCTCAAATACCTGCGTGACAACCCATCTGTTCTTCAGGCCGTCACTGTAAGTTTCTTTCTTTTTTCCTTCCCAAGATTGAATCTTTAATCATTCATAAAACAGGGGGAAAGGGTAGAATTGTTGTAACTGGGAACTGATTTTGTGTTTTGGTTTTGGCAGGAAGAACAAGAGGCGATAGCGAAGGAGATGATTAGCAGGGAGAAGGGAGTTCTGAATTGGGGAGATACAAAGCAGATGCCCATCACTTCACGGGTGATTCAGGAGACACTCCGGGTTGCTTCAATTCTTTCCTTCACTTTCAGAGAAGCTGTTGAAGATGTCGAGTATGAAGGTCAGTAGTATTCTTCTGGGTTAATTTCTCAGTTCAAAATCCAATTCTCTTTGCAATAGAATGAATGATACTGATATTTCGTTTTTTTGGTCACTTTCAGGGTATCTAATCCCAAAAGGATGGAAAGTTTTACCACTTTTCAGGAACATTCACCACAACCCTGAAATCTTCCCTGATCCTGAGAAATTTGACCCTTCCAGATTCGAGGTAAAAAGCTTTTCTTGCCACTGTAAAACAGCGACAACTATCTCCTGTCTGTTTCCCAATCCTCCATCGATTCTGATAAGCTCTCTGCTTCATCTTCCTTGATTGCCAATCAACAGGTGGCGCCAAAGCCCAATACTTTCATGCCATTTGGCAGCGGGACCCACGCCTGCCCTGGAAATGAGCTAGCCAAGGTGGAGATATTAGTGCTGCTCCATCACCTGACCACAAAGTACAGGTCGGTTAACCATTGAGCTTCCTGCCTCTTCTGTTGCTACTTCCTTTTTCTTTTCTTGCCTATCCAAATATGGCAAGTTGGGGGTAATGAGAAAGAGAGAAGGCTGAGACTCTGTTTTTCACTTGTGTTGCTGGCAGGTGGTCTATAGTGGGCGACAATAATGGAATTCAGTATGGTCCTTTTGCTCTTCCCCAGAATGGTCTGCCCATCAAACTTTCCCTCAGAAAATAATGAACAGCAGGAGCCATAAATCAAATCATTTCCCATTAATGGGGATTTGCCCAAATTGGGGGGAGAAAGGGACGAATGAAAGGAGGACAAGTGGCAGAGCTGCAGAGCGACTCTGCCCCAACTGACCACCCCGCAAAACAGAGGATGAAAAAACAGGGGAAGAAAGAAGAAAGGAAAGGAAAGGAAAGGAAAGGAAGACTCCAATTGTACAGCATGAAAATGAGTCCTCAAATACTTTCCTACTATACTACTACCACTGCAGCAGCAGAGCAAGAAGAGAGGCGAAAGACAGAGAACAGAGTGAATTCACTGAACAAAGGCATCTTCGAAATATCAATTTTTTTTGTTTCTTTTTATTGGGTAGTTTGCATGTTGCCAAAAAGGAGGGGGAAAAAAGGGACAAAGAGAGACAGTAGGATGATTGATATTTTTGTAATTAGGATCCACCATGAAGAAAGAAAACTACAGTTTCCCGTAAGGTCAAACTGTAAAATTTTGTTTGACATAGTTTCGTCTTTTCAATTCATTCTCTTTAGTGGTTTCTTCCCCTATGATGAATTGAAGATGAGGAAGGCCAATTCTTCCAAGGGTTCAACGATCATCCGGGGCTAAGTTTGTGGGGTTTGAGAGAGGTGGTTTAGGATACAAGTTCAGTTATTGCTTTTCACCATTCATTAAGCGAGCAGACATACACCGTCGTTCATTCATCTGCGTATATGTCATTCAATCACTGAACAATGAAATTTTGCAGTGAACTATCTGATTCGTGAGGACCACAGATCTCTTCGTGGTTATCATATATAGACTATTTCGTTTTCTCCGTCTTCTCGTCTATGGACACCTGTGAGAGAGTCTAGACTGGTAGTGAGACCACAAACCAGACCACGCCTGTGTGGTCTGGTCCGAATAGACCACACTGAACGAGAAATGAACAATTTGATTAGTCAATCACACAAAAAATTGAACCAGTAGCCAAGAAAATGAAAATAATTCCTTTTTTGCCTTAAAATATAAATTCCAACATGCATGAATAATTTTGATACTATAAATGTCAGTAACTTACAAAGATACAATATCAAAGCATCACAACTTGCACAATAACGTCATAAACATTAACAATATATCATATGGAGACACGATCGTTTCTACTCTCTGGTGAAATGTGGATGTGAATGAAAGAGGGGATGAGATTTTCAAAATTAAGATTGAGACTTGGGTATCGTTTTGGGAGTTGGGAGATGATCTAGTGGGCCGCTAACACATATTGAGAAGTCGGTTGGGTCCACGGTTTGGTCCGGTAAACCGCAGTCTAGATCAGACCAGACCAAGAGATCAAAGCATCATATAATACATACCATGGATCAGACCAGATCATACTTAACGGTCTATGATCCAGACCAAACTGTACGGTCCGATTTTGGATCATGGTTTTTCAAACGGTCTGATCTATATTCTCAGCCCTACTATAAATCATAATTTTAGTCATTTCATTCGTCTCAAAAACCAATATCAATATTCAAACTATATAACAATGAATAAAAAATGCACTAATTTCTGCAAAAAAAAATCATTTATGAGTATAACTACACGAGAGAACCATAGTTCTATGTCATATTGTAATAAAAAACTTCCCAAAGGGTGCCTGCCACCTAGCAATGCAAATCGCCTCGTGCACTCAAGTGGTAATTTGATACCACGACTTTAATTAAGGATAATAATATCTAATTAGTACAAGATTGCTCAAACCATACAATAATTGTCAACCCCTAATACTAATTCAAGATTTGAATTAATCAATCAAAATATTCTATAGCTATATAGCTACGTACGTACGAATTCAATAATTAGGTCAAACCATTTGCAAAATTCCACCACAATACTACCTAATTAATAAATGAAAAAATGGGACAAGTCAAAGCCTAGGCACATGTAAGTACACGAATTAATTGAGGAGGGGAAAACAAACAATTAATAAGTGAAGAAAATTCAAGTCGTGTGAAGTAATATATATAGCGTACGTATTTTGCCCCCCACCTCTCCCCACATCGCATGTGATGTGACAAAAACTACTAGTCCATATTCATTCATAACAAAGAAGTTATAACAGACTTTACTTGTGAATTGGGAAGGAAATGCCAACCGCGTGCTTCGTCTAAACGATAAATTCATTTCATTTCAACTCTTAAAACGATCACGATAGGAAGATTGCGGTTCAACGACATATCAACTCATAGGGTAGGGAGGTGCGTTTAGCAAAATCTGCAAGCAACAGTGTGGCTGCTTAATCAGTATATAGTCCACATGGATTTTCGCGATAATTAACCTAACAAATTTTTTCTCTTGGTTCCACGTTAGATCATAGGAACTAAATTATATTACTGATTATAATTAAATAGTAGGGACGTAATTAACAAGGAGTAAGTGTAACGGGAACTTAAGGCACTATTGTTGTTTAGTTACTTATGTCACCCTGTTTAGCATAGTTTCGTTGGTGTGATTGAAGTAGAATTGTAACAATAGAGGTTCAACCACAATAACATGAAAATAGAAAGCAGAAACATGCAAATTCTAAGAAATCGAGTTAGTTAACAATGAGAATTGTAAATGTGTTTAGTTACTTCTTTAGACCCGTTTAGTATCAGTGTTGAGACTAAGACAAATGTAGGAAAATAACGAGAGGAATATTCTGGCATAGCGAGATGAGAAAATTGAGAGAGAAAGGATATGAAAATAATATATTAGCAATAGGGTATCGGGGATGAGGTTTGCATAAATGAAGAGGAATTATTATGTAGAAAGTGGTCTAGTGAGAATGGGTCATAGACACTCTTGAATAAAATTATTTCTACAATTAATAGAATCGCACAAGAAACAACTTTTGAAAACTATAAAAAAAAGCTATTTAAAATTGTTTCACGGGTTTCCGCTAATTTCTATTGTATTGTCTACTCATATTATCACAACAACATATGAGAACTAAAGAGAACTTTAGTGACATATAAATGAAGCATAAGAATATCGTTAATTTTGTAAGTAATGGGAGACTAACAACATATGAATATAAAAAATCAATATCACTCTTCTAAAAATAAGAGATAATGTTAACAAATATTTATAGTATCGTGATCTTCTTCTTTTTTGTACTTAATGGGAGACATATAACATCGTTAGTGGAATATGAAATATGGTTAGTCAAAACTATTGTGCATTTGCGCCACATGCATACAAAATGTGGCGGTGGTGGAAATTTACTTTAGAATTTGATCGTTAGTGACAACTTTTTACTTGCATCGCTCAAATTTATGATCTTGAAAATTTGTGATCGCTCAATTTGCTATCCTGTGTGCCGAATAGAATATGAGAGTGGATACTATACAAAATTACGTACTGCAAAATCCGGTTATAGTATCGTTCACGACATCATAATATAATGATTACAAAATATAATCGTGTTGTATCAGCGTATTATCACATATATGATGATACGATGATATAATCGGGGTTACAGGGAATGGATTTTGTATATCTGAACCCTAGAATATTGTTTAGCACTTCAGCCCGTTGATCGAGTAATTAACTAGCTGGTCCATGGTTTTTGGAATGAGGTTTGTACGTACGTAGTTGCCATTTTATTAATTAATATCGTTATGATTTTTGCAAATGTCAACCTCAGAGGCAATAGGGATTAGGGATGCGAATTGAATTTCATCAGGGGGTTTGGTCAAAATTAGAATAAAGTCAGCCCTTAATAATGCTCACAAATCAATAATTCACAACTAGATCACAAAAAAAACTATTATATTAATCGCAACAAAATTTAGAGTTAGATGGTAATTATACCCGCAATTGTGGGTATCTACCTTAGCTCTATCAACGAGAGAAATTTCCGTATTAAACTGGGTATGGGAAAAATACGAGTCGTGGCCGTCAAGAACATGTTGGGTACCGGGTTTATGGTGAATTTAGGTGTCCTCGTCCCACTTTTATAGTCATTGCCCGTCTCGCGCTCAATTCCTGTGCTGCATACAATTCCAACCGCATCTCATCTCCTCTCCTCTTCCTTTCATGCACCAAAATTTCAAAATATTGAAACTCTAAACTCGTCGATTTTACTTTTCCAGTTCCATCAATTAATACATACATGTTACTTTTAAACCATAACTTACATAAAACAATTTATATCTTTCTTGTGTTTCTCATATAGTCGTATTGCTTGTTCTTGGTCTATGATAATGTTTGTTCAACGTTCGAGCTCCATTATCATATGCGTAATGCGTTGTCAACTTAACTGCATCAAAGTTTGAATTGAATTTCGATATCATATGCGCGGGACGAAAAATTATCGACCTGTATTCAAAATCTGCAAGGATTGTGATCATGAGAATGTAGAGAAAAATTCCCTTGTGTTGAACTTTCATTAAAATTTGCTACAAAAAGTTGAATTTCAGAAAACTTCCTTCGTTGACTTCACCCACAAATTCTATTCTATTTCAGTCTTTGATCATTCAGTCCTTAAAAATTAGTCTTGTATAATAAAAGCACAGGTGTCCCCCTCTCTTTATTTCCTTCATCCCTCTCAGGTTTTAAACGCCACAATAATGGACTCAACGAGAAGAAAAAAGAGAGGAAATAATTAACATTGCATTGAAGAAATAGTTGGTGAAAGTTGAAGACACCTAGAACTAGAGATATAATTTACACTGAGTCAATCTTCATGAGTCGCGCGTGACATAATTACATTACGAACCAGTCATCAATATACAATTACCGTTTTAATTAAAAAAAAACAACAGTATAATCGCTATAGTTAAAGTCCACATTCGCGTGTTTACCATATGGTTTTAGCAAATACATTCGAACGAAATTAAACGAAACTTTTTCCATTCCGACCCAACAATAATTATCGCGTCTTCAATACTTTTTTTTTCAGTACGATATTTGGTAAAGATCTACGCGCTTTTCTCGACGGATTGCTGCGACTTAGAGCTGAGAGCGAGGGAGACGTACGACTGTTTCTTTGATACAAACGCTTTCAAACCTAATCGTCGCGATCGCTGTCAGAAAACCGTCGGTACGTGTTTGCCTCCCATTGCATGGAGATATGCATACATGTGAACGGTACTAGAAGAAAAGAAAAAAGAGAGAGACTGGACCAGCAGAGAACAGAGACAAGTTCTGTTCCAACTTGTTCTCCTTTCCTTGACATATCGTAGCCTAAGCCAACTTATAGTACGCAGAAAGAGAGACACGTAGGGTTGATTAATGGTTGATATTTGCAGCAGTAGTTCTCTGTATGTGTTAGCAACTTCTTCGTGTTAGTGAATGATATATGATTCACGATTGAATCTCTTCCAATAACTCGAATGATTGGGATCAATTGGTTCCTGATATGATATCAAGAGCTTTAAGTGACCGAAATGTCTTATGTTCGAATCCCGGTGACCTCCGTTTTTGAAACACATGGTATCGTGTATTCAGACCTGTGCAAACGAAAGCCCTTATGACTTTCGTTTGATGGGGTGTGCTAATGAATTATTTATGATATACGATTGAACCTCTCCCAACAACTTAAGTTATTGGGATATGATACTTCAACTCAAAGAAAGGGACTTTGTCAAATGTCAAGACAGAAACAGTTGAGTTGAATTAACGAAACAATAACGTAACTAACTAACCCTAATCGTGATCAGAAGGAAAGGGCGACGTAAGCTGGTTTAAGGACAGTGCGCCACGGGGGTTTTTCGACCATTCAAATTTGGCAGGCAGTACAGACATCTGCTCGATCTGCTGCGTTAATTATATGTTTGCGTGCCCATGGATAAAGCACACGTGTTTCACGTTCCAGTGTCTTCGGTTCTCTGTTCTGTTTGGGCAGAGTACTAGATAGATGCATGATTCAGTACTGCTGCTGCAGGCCAGATCAGGCCAGGCCGCGTTTTGATTGCGTTTTGCGTGCGTGCAGAGTGCAGTTTCAGGATCTCAATTCAATTCACTGGTTTAATTTCTGTGAAACCCAGTTGCCACTTGGTTGGTCCCGATTCCCATGCATGCATCATATAGACAGTATGATGATGCCAATTTCAACCTGAACTGTTTTATCCGATCTGTTTGACTTGTTTTAGAGCGGGGGTGGAGCGAGAATGGGTACCTCCCATCGACCTGACCTGCCCTGACCCGCCCCATTCTCGATCCGTTCTTGCCTAAATTACATGTATTCTTAGTCGAAGCACTTAGGATGTTCCTCTTATTACCTCATATTTTAGCTATAATAAAGTTGTAAATAACTGAAAACCTCAATTTCTCCAATAATTTAATTATGTTATGGTTTCTTTCTTGGTCTTTTAATGAAAATGACGAATATTTCTAATGTTTTTTCACATAAATTACATACACCTTGGATTGACCTGCTTCAACTCGCGACCCATAATAAATTATCAGACCTAGACCTGACCTGCCATGTAGCAAATATGAATATCGAGAAACCCGTCCCTCACCTGGCCCATGGTCATTCCTACGAAATATCAGTTAAGCATTCATTGTAACTCGTGCCGCCTGCAAAAACAAGTATAAAAAACATGGCAGCAATAGCAAAGGATAAAAAACAAGGTCCTACCGGGAGTCGAACCCAGGTCGCTGGATTCAAAGTCCAGAGTGCTAACCACTACACCATAGAACCGTGCTGGTGATAGAATATCATTACTTAATTACTCAATGAATGGATATTTATTGTTTAAGTGCAAAACCAAAAACTGGCAGACCTGTCTATGAGCAACCTTGTCATTCTAGACCCATTCGGTTGGCCCACTTGATAGAAATACAAAAATGGCATCATAAAGGCTACCGTTTCATTGGCATTACGAAGAAACACTAGTGCTGTTATTGCTTGGAACCCCTCAACAAGAACTGGCAGTCAGAAGGCGAGTCATTGAACATGGTTTTGTTGACTGGGATGATGTGCTCCTGGGGTTGTGGGGGAAATGAAGAAGTTGGAAAGGATCCCTGAAGGCTTCAGGAGGCACTGCACTGCGAATGGCGTAGTATATAAGAATACCACCAGCAGCTTTTCCAGCTGTTGATCAAAGCCAAGCTTCTACGTTAAGTAGTTGATTCACACTGAGAAAGTGACCTGCAATTACAGCACATGTATCGATCTCAACATGCTGTGATCAAACAACTGTACAGGTCAAAACTGTTGCATAAAGTGAAATCTTCAAGCAAGTATTTCTCGCTTCACTTGTTCTCCCCCTCTATTGGGTTATAACAGTCACGAAAGGTAGTGGCTTTGTTAACTCCTCAAAGCACAAACTCTAATGCCTTCAAATTATAGAGTTGCTAATATAATTCATTTACTTATTCGTACGAGTGATTATGGCTCCGTTACCTTTTACTTCACCGCAACACCATCGAGATGCCCGTTGCATTTGTGACCACCTTTGTCGATAATGCCCGTGATATAAGTAGCTGAGCTCCTCTTCTCTTCCTGCAGAGATCAGACGTGACTCTATACCATTGCTCCTGAATGTAATGAATTACACACCAGTTAAACATCCAAAACTAAAATAGTTATCTACTTTTATTTCGCTGCTGAATATCCACATCTCCAGATTATGTTCGATAAACCATGAACATTCATGTTCATTAAAATTTAAGCAATGACCATCTTTTTGACACAGTTAAAAGAGTCCATTTCCCTTTTATAACCTCACAGCCAAAGTTTTGGTTACGCAGGGTACCATCTGGATTGCCTGAGTTAGTATCATTGCAGCTTCAACCACTAAAGAACATCTGAAGTAAACGCTTACAAGCCTCCTGAATGTGGAAGTAAACATGAAAGAGCATTATGGAAGAAAATAAAAACATTTGTGTAGATGGAAGACAAACCTTGAAATGCCTTGTAGCCTCTTTAGGATGCATTGAGGTCTAGGGCCCTTGGCCGAGCCTCTCTAGAGAGCTCATACAACTCCAGCCCATTTTCTAAATGCAGCGACATGCTGAAGCCTCTTTTTTTGTGCGTCATTTCTCGTCTCAGAGGCTCTCAAACTCGTGTAAAGATTCTTATGAAGCTTCAAGAACTCACATCTATACATCCATTTGTCAGCATACATGTTCTGTTTTTTCACATAATCAACAATCTCCATCACTCTCTCAAAATAACCACCTCGAAGAAAGTTCAGCAGCAAGCACTCGTACATGTCCCTACACAAAGCTAAGTTACTCTTTTCCATGTTCCGCTTGATGTCCCCCCACAAAATAGTTATTTCCCGGTACATTCCTAGAGAAGAGTACCCATGCACAAGATGCGCAAAAGTTTGTACTGTGGGTTGGATTTCCATGTGCCCCATTTTTCGGTATGTCTTCAGAGCATCTTCCATCATTTTGGCTTTGCAAAAGAAGTATATAGTAGAATTCAACTCATACACTGTAGGAGACATAACCTTTTCTTCACCATCTGCTTCTTGAAACAAGAACTCTGCCAGACCTGAGGTACATTTGTAAGAAGAATATTCTATACCAGATATTTCAGACGAACAAGAGGATGCTACCACTTCATCAGAAACATCTACAAGCCAACCCAACTTCCGCATTCGCCTTAGCAATGCATTTCCCTGTTTCAACATCTGTTTCCCATAATATGCTTTTAAAAGTGTCATATATGTAGTCAAGCTCATTGAACGACCACCAAGTTTCTCCATGTCATCCAAGATGTCATGAGCAGTTTCCAGCCAGCCTACATGAACACAAGCTTCAATGACTTTGGAACATAAATTGGATCCTTCCTGTTTATGATAGTCTTCTTGAATGCTATATAAAACCTCTGACAGCTCGCTGATCCTACCATGCCTCCGGCAACCACCAACAAGCTTCGCCAGTGCTCGTTTCCTCAGGAGAATTTTCCCATTCCTAAAAGTAACAAGCTCTAGTTCAGTTTGTGACTGTAGGATAGAATCCTTCACCAATAATTCAGGCACAATCTGCATCTTCAAGCCAGACCTAATACTGTCAGAACCTATGGAAACAAGATGGGGCTTTTGCGATTCCCTTCTATATTTCTCATGAAGAGTAGCAGAATTCCGTGGAATGTGCATACCCAAGATGAGCTTAGCAGCAGCATCAATGTCATCGAATTTGAAGTGCAAGTTTAACAAACTATTATATAACTGCTGGTAGTGACAAAGAAAAGTAGATGGTAACCCATCGATATGATATTTAAGTTTCTTGACCTCGTCCCTCAGGCCATTCATTTCATGGATCTGGCCAATGAGAGTGATGGAGTGTGCATCAGCAGTAACCCCTATCCGTGACATCAACTCCAGAACCTGCTGACCTTTTAGAGACGATTTAAACCTCACACAACCATCCAGAACAATGTTAAAAGTCATGGTATCTGGTTTAACCAGCTTCGCCAGTTGATCTTTTTCCGCATTCGAATCAAGGAAGCAATCACAAACCTGAATCAAGAAATTTGAAGCCAGATGAGTTCCAGTGTCGGTCTTAGCCATGTGGAAAAGAACCAACCACAACACATTCATTGGAGGCAGCTTCCTTCTGTCCAGCATCAATCTGAGAGTCACGGACGCTGGAATAGGCATCTGTGCTCTTGCTAAGGGGAGTGAGAGCTTAGTAAGGATATCAACCTGCAGCGACTTTTTCGAGTGCTCTTCACAAATGAGGACAGCTAAATTGTATGCTCGTTGTAACCAACAAGGGTCAGCAGAGTATGAAAATTCCAAGACCAACTTGCTCGTTAGATCATCTGGAGGAAATCCATACAAGGTCTTGTAGCCATTGAAATTCACCCATGCTTCATCTAGTTGGTGGTCATGCAGAGCAGTTTCGAGCTTTCTCAAGAGAACAGCACGAGGGGAAACTTCCCAAGATAGCCTTTCATGTTGAGTAGTGCTGGAATAAGATTGGTAAGCCAAAAGCCGATACCTTTTGATGCACGAATCAACCATATGAAACTCGCTGAAACTTCTCTGGCAGGCAGAATCTCGTCCATGAACCCTGGAAATCACACCCCTAACGAGAGAACAGCTTTGGATAGCACGAGAAGGGAACATTTTTCCTTGTCTTCCCATAAGGAGAGCCATTCATCTCACTAACCTTACATCAACGACTAGCATAAACAACATAACCTAATGTGGGAACCAAAGCAATCCCCGCGGTTGGAGAAAGATTCCGCCATGGAAACAGCTCAAACCAATTGCCTAAGCTAATCAAATACTCAATGTGGAAGAGAAAAGGTGGGAGCTTTTTGCCTTATCTTTACTGCAGTTGAGAATCGGGTCTGCACCGAATATATGGATAGATTATATGCGCGCATAAGAGGAGCAGAAAAGAGAAGATTTACCCTTACCCCGAAGGAAAAGAAATCACAGCGCACCAGGAACGGCGGGAAGGGTTGGCGGCACAATTTTTTCGCAAACAGGCTTCCAGAAGAAAAGCCAACTGTTTGTATTTGTCCCCTCGTGTCCTAAATTACCTAATAACTGAATTTTGGCTCGCATGGTAATTTGGTGAGGTGACTCACTAGTCACTCCATTGATAACCTGACTCAAGCTTTTCTTTTTTACCTGAAGCTTACCTAGAACTAGAATATAGTAGGGTTAGGTGAATAGTTAAGTAAACCTTGATCTTATAAATAAGAAGAAGCTTTTTTTTTCCTTCCAAAATTTGATGATACTGAGAAAATCAAAATTTGAGTACTACCAAAATAACTCAACTAGGCTATGCAATTATGACGGCAACCACAATCATTTTTATCGCTATTATTAGAAAACGTCATTGATAATTTTTTTAAATAATTATTGAATGTCACTAGTAATAGTACAAACCAATTATTTGCATAATTGAAATATCATCAATAAGCTTTTTTAGATCGATCTGAAAGTATTAGTTGATCAACATATCAATATCAATTTGATTGGTGAAGTATTTGGATATAATTTGGTTGTAACGATGGTTTTACCCATCCTACTCCCCAACCTGTGAGATGCAACCGAAAGACCATAGGAGATCACATTTACGAAGTAGAGATTAGAACGACTTCGAGTAGATGATAGTTTTGACATCACATTCATAATCAAAAGTTAACGGGATATCTATGCTTCCCTTCCTTCGTCACAATCGTCGATTTACTTTACAAGAATTCATCATATTGCAAATAAAACAAATCATCATATTACAAATTTCAAAGATGAGCCAAAAATCTCCTTTGACTTGGGTATCATACAACAAGTCATTACTCTCCCTCATCCCTTCAATCTTTGATGTTAACTCTACACACACACACATAGACCTGCATCACAATTAGCAGTACTTAGTTTTCCTATCCGAGAGCAACTGCAGTGTACCCATCAAGAATTCAACATGATCTTGAAAAATACATAAAACATCATTAACTTCTCAAGCAATCTATCAGGTATTAGCTTATCATGGATGCCAAAGAGCCAAACAATCAAATGTCGTAGTACCTTCACAAAATCTGAGTTCTTGGGAAACCCTTTTTTGCTGTCTTTAGTAGCTCGATACGATCTCGGGTAGTTCGATTCTGTTCTTCTGCCTGACAAAGAAAAGAGATTCCGTCAGCTGAGATTTCATAATCGTATGCGTATGCCTGGTAAAAACTTCGACCTGCAAATAAGTGTCATCAAGAAGAAGGCAATGGGGTGCATTCTAGAGCATCCTTTCAATGGAATTAAAATGACAGTCAGCAGGTTGATCAAACTAAGACAGGAAATTAGTGTGCTATCCTCAAATAATTGTGTTGGTTGCTTAAAACAACATGAACTGCATGGGAACTTGTATAGGAGAAAATTTTACTCCATCCCTATTTGTTTCTCTTTTCCCAACCCAACACACAAAGCAGAATATCATCTTCTGAGAGTTGAAGCTTATGATTCTGTGTGTGAAACAGATATGAATCATAGAGGTTACTGTCACTATTAATTACTTAAAAGAGTAAGACCTGCAAATTGTAGAGCTGCTATAGAAGGCTAATACCAACCTTTTGCAGAACGCCCATCAGATATTGGATTTCCTCCTCTTTCGTATTTGACAAACTGGAAGAGACATCCACGACATTACTCCTGTAGGGAAGGCAATCCACTTCAACAAAACATCTAATGAAGAAATACCATGTCACTTCTAGTTTTTTCTTGATGCTGATCAATTATCCAAATCTTGCCTTGCTAATTCTATCCTAGAAAGTTTAAACAACACCTTCAGTCAAATTCATGTCCATGGATCATGAATGAAGACAGTGAGTGCTCTTTGTAATGGAACAAATGCAAACAGACATCGCAAACTGCATTCATGTTATGGCAATACTAGTATTCTTCGTAGTTAGAACAATGAGATCAGGGCCTAAGCTACTGTAGCAACTAAAGCACTGCAGTAGAGCAGTTAGATAAGCAATATTTCCTCCTCTTATGGTCACTAGATCTCAAAACTTGCCTATTGTGGTGAATGGAACAGTCAATGATGGCATCACCTTACTACTTGAAGTTTAAGTTTGAAAAAATTACAGAACTTTCGTGAAAACCCAAAAAGATCGAACTCCTCTCTTCACCAAAAGTTAATTTCTTGTACCCGACGAGTCAATGCGAAGAAACAATTTCAACAAATAAGGTGTTCTGTGTGAGATAATTAGATAAAGAAATTAAGAAACCGCAACGAAAATTTCCTAAAGCAAACACTTTGAAGTCAAAGTTGTGGGGATCACAAATCATCAATGCTTCCGATGACAATATTGATGTGTTCACAGGTTCACCTAGCAGAGAATTGTGATTTCTTTGATACGGTGCGTACTTATCTAGGAAGAAAGGGTCCAAAGTCTGTTCCTCCACGAGTTGCTCCACGGTATCAAGAATGGTCCTTACCTGCAAAACAAGTAATCCTTACACGAGAGAAACATAGGGGGAGTAAAAAACAAAATCTAGCCTTCTGAAGTAACTTATCTAGGAACAAAGGGGCCAAATTCCACGAGTTCCAGTGCATGATAGGATTTTGTCCCTCAATAAATACAATATAAGAGGCAACGAACACATATAAGAGGGTAAACCGAAACTAGAGAAAGGAAAAACCCTCTGTTCCTCCACATAGTTGGTGAAGAGCTCTCAAATCGGAGCCTACTAAAACACAAGAAGATGAAAATTATGCTAAACGGGGCCTTAGAGAAGCCAGTGAAAGAACTTTTACGACTAGAAAATGTGAATCAAGGTGTTCCTAGGATTTCACATGCATTGAGCCATTTACCTAGCATCAAAGCTTCACAAAGAGACTACGTGTGACAATCCATTTTCTATTTTCTTTGGATGGTGCATTGTACAAGCCATAGCCAAAGTAGCATCTCCAAGCATTGCTTCTCATCCATATAAAATTCCATTTGGGTAAACTTATTTTAGTAAATCTCAGAAGCAAATTAAATGCAGAAAAAGATACATCCAATGTTGGCTACTGACATCTACTATCGCTGCACAAATTAAACCTGAATCCAATGATCAAGTTTCTATCTGGTCCTGACTTCAATAAGATATACACTGATTCCAATAACTAAATAAGTCTTTCGCAAAGGTAGAAATTGGAATTGACTAATAGGCTTTCAGCCTTTATCCAAGATATATCAGCAATTATCAAGAACCGGGAGAGAAAAGAACTGTACCTGCAACTGACCGCACAAATCCTGAAACTCGTTCTGTCAAAAAGGAGAACAAAACCAGCAATTATGCAAAGCTGACTAAACAAGAAATATGTGATATGAAGGATTTAGAGGATGATGTGAACTATGATTCTTATAACTTTTGTAAGATGGCGTCCATGTTTATGTGATTACCAGTATCTAGACAAAAACAGGCAAACATTTTGCCATTTTTTTTCTCCCTGAAACTAAGGCAATCAGACTCCTTTGACTGTTAATTCCACATCATAGTCTGTGAGGACTAAGGCAGTCCAGAATATCATCATAACCTAAGGAAGACGGTTACCTTTGTTCAACTACAAAACTCACACAGCAGCTCACAGTTAAGGCAACCAACAGTTCAAACTTGCATACAGTTTCTAATAAGTTCCTTACAATACAGTTTAAGCAATATGTTGTTTGACAGCTATAGTTATGTTACCATGAGTTATCAGTATTCCATAACTGCTTTGACTGGCATAACAGGGTAACATTTTCCATTGATCAACAACATGAAGAGAACTATATTCTTACTAGGAAACATGGTACTTAATCAAAATGTCGACAATCCAGTATAACGCCTATGACCAAAGAGTAATCTGACTTAGTTATTTGAGGCCTCAGCCACAGTATTTTGTTCATTAATATATGGTCCAAACTTAAACAAGTTGTGAATGGAGTGCAAACCTCTATCCTTTGGTGCAAAGAGGTAATAACCTGCAATTGAACACCATGCAAATTTTTATTAGCACCGAAGTTCTAGTATCATAATCAGACAAGATCCAGCTATAAAAATAGTTATGAACCCAGAAGAAAACACTTATGTCCTTGCGAAATGGACATCAATTGTACACTATAGACAGTCAGCACAGTATACACACGTTCACTAGTCGCAGTTGCCAATCACTTGCCTCAAGAACAGCAGAGTAACTCTGGAATCTAGTTTGTCAAGAAGTTAATTTCACAGCATCAGTCACTGGGCAATAAAAGGAATACATGCGTACAAGAAGTATTGCGACTAGCCCTAGACCACACTTGTCCAGAGAACACTTTACTTCACTGTCACGCGATTTGAGAAACACTGGTCGCCGCTTGCTAGACATGAACAGTCAATTTTGGGGTTCTTAGAGATATGAGCTCATTCCCCGTGCTTCTGCTACAAACTATTCCAAAATGAAAGGGAAAGAAGAAGAAGAAGAAGAAGTACCTGAATATACAATCTGCGGAGCCATTCCTGTTCGGGACGGCTAAACCTCGAGAACGCTTTCAGAAAATCCTACACGAACAAAATGCATCCACAAACCACAAGCTTTGCCCTTTCAGTATTGTTCCCTCAGCTTGTTGATGAAAATAGAACCCAAATTTTAACCGATCGAAGAAATTGCCAAACTTAAACGAAGTAGGGACGAAGCGAACCTCATTAGAGCACCCAGTAAGGAGAGAACGAATCGCAAGACTGAATGATTTCATGAGATCGGACTCCCTGGAACTTGAACCGGCCTTCGTCCCAATTTCCCTTTTCTCCATTGCAGACAGTGAGTGAGAGGAGACGACAAAGACGAAGAAGGAAAGAGTGGGAAAACTGATTTTGATTTTTGGGCGTGTTTTTGGACTGTATTTGAACTTCTGAATCCAGAGTGTAAATTACTACCATAGTCACTTAATTATGGTGAAAGCTCATTTCGATCACTGAAAAGTTCTGGTTCTTTTCATGTGATGTAGGTCGATTGGGGTGATATTTAGCTGTGATAGAACCCGCTCTGGTCTTTCAGCTGCCAGCGTCATTATCGTCCCCCAGCCCGCTGCCATGGCTGGAACGTTGCAGTGCCGGCTGGCCTGAATATCGAACAAGTTTTTCGACTTCGTCGTAAGCTGCTGTTGCCAGCTCTATGATTGTAATTGCTCGGTCTCTCTACAGGTATGTATGTTATCTACGTTCGTGTACAACAACAGGTACAGATTACGGAACACTATCGGTATGGTATCAGTTTGACTTACAAGACAAATCTTGATGCAGAAAACAGAGAGACGAACAACGAATATAACTATCCGGTGATTGCATTATTATATGAGCTTTTAGGTCCCAATGGAAAGTCAATTTGGGTGAAACAAAGAGAAAGAGCAACACAAGCATACATGGTAGAGATACAAGGAAAAGAAGCCAGGAATCCATTGAGAGAAAGCTGCCCCGATCAAAACGAGCTCTGCTCCGCCACAAATTTCAGGCCAAAAACTGTGGGGAATGAATGAATCCATCCCCACTCAATCATGTACACTAGTGGTAACTTCCCTGTTTCTTGATCAACAAACCAAAGACAAACTCACTATACTCTCTTTGTCCACACACCACCAAAATACACAAAAACCTGTACCTGATCTTCAACCAACCAGCCACACTCTCTCTCCCCATGGCAAGGCGTGGCGACAGCATAGAGCTCTCGTTTATCGGCAAGCTCCTCCCCTGTTCTGCTCTGAGTAGGCACTTTGAAATGCATTGCCCGTCACCAGTGCATAATGAGTAGTGAATGTACGAAGTGATCTCGAGCTTTGATGAGCCAAGAAGACTACATCAGATCTCAAACTCTCAGCCAAGCAAATCCTTGAACAAGTTGGGGTTTTGACTTGATGGGTTCACACCCATCTGCCTTACCAATGCATCCTTCTGCAAGGCATCTTTAAGGTTCGGACCTTTACTGATTTGGGCAGTCGATTGCGGAGTTGCAATCCCTCCATCAGAGGACACATCTGTTGTTGCAGATGACAAACCGGACATAAGATTATCGACATCCTCAATACTCGAGAAATGATTGCCCCCGTGCTCAACTGCAGTAGCGGTGTCACCAAAAGAGGCCATAACATCTGGTACTTTCGTGGCATTGACATCACCATGATTGTTGGTAGATGAAGTTGGCTCAACCATGTCGAGTAGCCCCTCCAACTGCTTAAATGGGTCAATCAACGGACCCGAGGTTGCTACAGTTGTTTCACCCAAGTCGAGCAAATCTGGAGGTGGTGGCTGCTGAGCAGGGACAGCCATCTTCTTAACCGACGTCTCGGCTCCATGGCCACCACTTGGCTTGGCTGCAGTCTTGTGGCCCCCACCTAAAGACGACTTCCTTTCTTGTTTTGATGAACCTCCAAACAGTGATGCTGCAAGCTTCTGCTTCTCTGGAGATATTTCTACTACTTGTGACTTCCTTGTTGGTTCATAAGTAGTTTCTCGTCCTTTAGAAATAGCAGGAGTAACTGATGTTGCTCCATTCGATACAGTTAGCCCATTAACAGTATCCTGTGAAGGAGCAGCACTTGGGGAGGGTGACGAAGATGAGTAAGTTGGCCGACCCCACTTTTTTTGAACCCCATCGAGTCGTAACTTGACCTCTGCAGGTCCTGAATTGGATGAAGATGGAACAGATACTGCAGCTTGATTCCCACGGTCGTAGGCCGGTTCGGGAACTGCAATGAGTTCATTGGATGATCCAATAGATATGGGAGGAGTTGTAAGGGGCACAGAGGGCTGCTTTGGAAGCTCATAGGCCTCGAACCTAAGGCCATGTGAAGGAGGAATGTCGTGCAGGTCTTGGCTGTTCAAGTAACTGGCATTTGAAAACCCAGACCGTTCACTTTCTGGGATATACGGTTGAGCTCCTTTTTCTATTGCACGTTCAACGTGATCATTTAGGAAAGGAAGGTTTTTATCAATCTGCAAACATAAGGGGAAGATCTTAATATAGTACAAAATGCAAACAAACAAAAACTCAGCACTAGCAAAAAAATTGGACATTAAGACATTGGTATGCAGAACTGTCAAAGAAATGAAGACCTAAAGCTGGCCATCTCATCCAGTTAGATATTCTCAGGGCAACACATTCCAGACAACTGCAAAACAGTTGGACTTAAAGGATGCTAAAAATTCATAAGATATCAACTCTGTGCATCATGGACGGTTAAGAAAAAGACAAATGTGATCTAACGCAAGCGCACCAGTGTGGTGGGAGCTGGAAAAAACATGGTGCTTAAGATATGATAAAAGCTAAGAGACATTTTATCCAAGGAACCTCCAGGTATATGCAAATGCACAAACAACACAGACTAACTCTTCAATACAGCATCGAAGACAGTAGATGCTAGAAGAAACCAACCTCAATCTCTTTAGAACTTGCATCTGACGGCATGATGTTTTCGACAGCTTGAGCATCCAAGGCAATGACAGCTTGAAGTTCATATGCACGCTGTTGCAAGTCCGTTGAGTGGGAAGCTGACAATTCTTCAATCAGGGATTGGCACTGCATGCAAGGATCTAAGAATTAGGAATGGCAGAATAGACTTTAACTGGCCCGGACACAAACCAAAAGATGGAAATACAAAAGTTGAACTACCACAGAATAGCCTAGAAAAGGGAAGCTACACATTTCTAGGAGAATGTTTGATGCAAGTGTTGGAAGACAAAATAGAGCGCAAGTTGCATTTTCAGTTGTCTTTACTTGTAAGAGAACTACGTGGACAGTTGTTTGGATGAGTGATTTTGCAAGGTTTAGGGTAAACTGCAGAATGGTGATTCAGTATAGGCTTTGGCAAGGTAAGAGTACATGTTCGAACTGTAGCTCCCAAGGATAGCTGGCTGTGTTTGATTCGAAGATTAATTCAGTACAACCAACACATGACTCCCTTGGTAGACAAAAGAATAGCAGTACCCCCTCTGGGAGCCAACTACAAAATCAAATACAATGCACAAGAGGGTATCTAATACACCACCTAACATAGTGGACGATTAGTAAACGACTTCCGCAAGCAGTAACCAATTGAAGAAACTAACTGGAATATAAAAATAAGGGTGTGAAAATAATAACCGGAGAGAAAAGGATATAAAGTAGAGTGGATTCCACTACAGAGAGACAGAGAGAAAAGCACAGAAGAGACTACCTCTGGTAGAATGTCCACTTTTCTCCCAGCAGCGATCTCAAAAGCATATATCTTGATAAGTGCCGTCACCGCATAAGCCTTCGGAAATGGAAAAACAAGTTAATTTCAGAAAGAATATTTGCTTGCATATAATTCTCATAACCACAGAGTCAAACAAACAATATAAGGTATAAACATTTCCATAATTAGTTAAATTAGCAGACGGAGGTAGGAAATTACTAAAGCTCCTACTACCAAATACGAATTGGACAAAAAGCTGAAAAGATAAATAACATATTTGCAGCACGGTTCCTCTAAACTAAGAAATGGGTGGAAAGCTAAAAGATAAATAACATAGCACATACACAAGTTAGAATGTTTGGCAATAAAATCTGAAATGACGGGCTAGAGAGAACAAACTGAAAATGGATTACCCCTTCAAAGATTAGAAGAACAGACTAATCATGCAACAGAATGTCTAATGGAACCAGAAGGAATGGCAATGCAGTTTTTGAGGCTTTTACTTGTTTATTTGAGTAGATTCTCAGTACCTTCTTGAGTGGATTCTCAAGCAAAGTCCTGGTCTTATTGGAGAGACAGACCCCCCCACAAACACAACCCATTTCCGTTATTTAATAGAATTCAAGCAGCTATCTAAACGGAGCCCTATATTACCTACACGCTCTTTGCCTACTAAACCCTAGGCACATCATGTGGCCTAAAGCCAAGAAGTTGTTTATAAGATGACTGATACCTTGACAGTTTCATCATTTGAGTATGCCTCAGCCACATCACACAACTTCCCAGTAATATATGAAGCAGAATACTTCCCATCAGCTGTTCCATATTCGCCCAATACCCAGCAAATAACCTGTAATTAGAATTCCGACAGAAGCACAAGGTTTAACTCAGTACATGGTAATAGCAATTTGAAAAGAAAGTAAACTTTAACTGGAAGTAGTTAACATACTTGAAGAAAAACAGATGGCAGCTTTGGTGCTCCTATAATTCGCAAATACGAGTCCACCTGCAGAGAAAAGTGATGTTAGCCAACCACATAGAAAGCAGGTACATCAATAGTTTGATGGTAAGTGGTACAAAAAATGAACCCATAGTTTGTACAAACAAAACATCAAAGAGAGATTTGGCCATTGCATGCTGTATAACCTATTACCGATACTCCGATAGCATGTTGGATAACATGAATTTCGTCTAATCTAGCCAGTCACTGGAAAAGTTGTGAAAACTGCCAACTACAGAAGCGTCAATCAATGCTCATAGAGTAAAAAAGGGAAATTACAGCCAAATGTTACGGCATTTGCAATGCCACTTGAAATGACTGAAAGACAGCATATCTTGACAGCACTTAAGAAATAAGACCTTGACGCCCCTCAAAAGAATTTCATTATCCAAGTAAACAAGTAAAGACAATCCTAAGGAGGTATCAGTGCATCTCTGAAATGATGGATATGTGCTATTTTGGATGCACCCATTTACCAGACCAGTTAGCGGCAGAATATTTTCTGCTATTTCTTGCTAAATAGCACATGAAGATTGCAAACCCCAAAAAAAATTACTTGCAGCTTTATAAGCGGCGAAAGGCCCGGTAACCATAAGGTGCAGACATGTAGGACATTACAGACCACGAATTGTTTTTTACAGATTCTTCTAAAATCGCCCACAGAAGACTATAGTATTGATTCTAATATTACAAAGGTATCTAAAATTTAACATCCGACACTGCACAGAGCAAGTAAATCACTCAGAAGAGCAGTGATACCTACAAAAAACCTCAACATGCCACCCATGATAGCTCACTCAGTGAAGAATGCCCTACCACACATAAATAGTTCTAATGCAAATAACAGAATAACTTACAGCGGAAGATCTCAGGTGAGTATATGCAGTATCATCATCTTCCCCAAATCCCTCTGCAATTAAGCGCATCAAGTTGTGGGCGACCTTAATGTTTACTAAATCTCCAGCATGTTCGAAGACTCTGTTCATGGTCTGTGCAGCTAAGTTTCATCAGTTGATAGACCAAAGATGCAGAGTGTAAAAAAAACAGCATGGAGAAGATATTTTGAAGGAAAATACAATTAAACATTTACCTGAATAAACCACTGGTTGCTAGGTGCAAATTGCTCTGCAAGTTCAACACACCGAGATACTATTTCGGTTTTGTAATGATTGTCATTTATGCTGATCATGTAATCAATCATCCGGTCAACAATGACTTCCACATTGGAGGACTTTGTCATTTTGTGCAGCAGCTCAAAGGTTTTTCGCTTTAGGGTATCATCTGGGTCCTGGTTGTGAAAATATCAAGTACAGATTACAACCAAATTAGTAAAAAATCAGCCATCATTACCATTAAGATATGGATCAAGTAGTAGGTGTATCTTCCAAAAATCAACTATCCTTTAATCTTTCTTTCAACACTTAATATAGGAAATCAGGTTCAGTCAATTTCAATTGGTCACTGTAGGTCCTTACAAAGAGAGGGAGAAAATAACAAATGGACTCATTGTGCGTCGAGTAACATTACCATTTCATAACAAGCAACACAGTCAAGACCTGCACATCTCCAAAAATTTTGGTCCATCACTAACATAACAACCATGGGAGCCATGTTATTCTACCAACACCTAGCTCCCTAACACTAAGATCAACTTAACCATGATTTCTGAAAACAGAAAAGTATATTAGGAGAATCATCGTATTAAAGTACCATATATTCTTTGTCTTTTACTTTTCTCTTAATTGCAAAAAAGACGATTAAAGAGCACCCAAAATCATCAGCACTCAGATTGATTGACCACTAGTCGGATTCATAAAATAAGCATGTTAAAGACGGAGTCTCACCTCTAAGCAATCTATCACAGCAAGCTGGTGTTGCTCTGCTATCTCTGGGCTCAATTTTATCAATCGCCCAAGAGCATCTATACCCAAATACTTCAGATTATGGCTGTCACTCTGTAAAGAAAATCAATACTGAAAATTAAATGAAGATAAAAGAAAAACAATTCTCAACAGTCTACCCAACGTTGCAAAAGTTGATCAGTGAATGAGAGATATGAACCTTTAAGAATCTTGCTATTTGGTCAGCAGCAGATTCTAGCAACTTAGGATTAGGATGTATTGAAGATACACAGCAAATGCATTGATAAATGACAGCATTTCCCATGTTGCTTGAAGAATCGCACTTCCTGAATATGTCACCCACAACCGTGTACATCTGCTCACTTGATTGCTTATCACCACTTCCAAGCAGTGCCAGAATTTTCAGCAACCTTATCTGAAAAATTAGGGATGCATAACATGGTTATGAGAAATGAGCAAGTCAGAGGAAGATATCACCTTAACTGTCAATATCAATAATTAGGGCACTAGAATAAAGTGTTTTACAGTGGAGTGTAGAATTATTAAATTATAGTATGACACGTCCCAGTTAGGGAGGAACCTCGCAGGTAAGACTAAAAGTTCAAAAATCAGTGGATAGAACTTCATAATGCAGCAGAAGCATTACAAATTCAGTGTGCATTGTTGTGCATATCATCCAGAAAGACTGGTGAGTCCTGAGAGAACGCCTTAATTCAATGAATCAAAACCAAATTCAACTATAAGTCTCAATTCTACGGTATGCCTTGCATTAGGGTAAGAATAAGGCCATAACAAAACAAGATGTTTACAGGTTCAGGTCATACCATGCCTTTCCCAGATTCAATTTCTACAGGATTCATTGTTAACAAAGTCAATATGTAACAGCGTTTCCCACAATCAGAAAATTATAGTTTTTATCAACACGAAGCATCCATGTCAATAAACTGATGACGGGTGGATGCAGTCCAAATTCCAAGTATATCCCCAAAGCAATTGCTGGCAATTGGAATACATCTCCTTTGCATGGATACTGCTATCCATGTTGACTATCAACCACACCTAATATAATAAAGGACACGAAGAATTCTTCCAAGTCTATCAACTAGCAGTTACTCCACTCAATGACTAATACTTGAGCATAGATCCCCTGCTTTCTCCTCAGTGGAATGCTTTCTATCCTAAGCAGAAGTAAATGGCAAGAAATATGAAAGGAGATACATATCATTCAGCAGATACCAATATGAAAGACAAATTTAGAGCCCTTCCTATTCCTTGTCTAGAAAACAAAGCAGATCGGGATACCTGTATGAATGGAGCTGGCAGCTGATGATAATCGTAGGCCTTCGGCAATCTGTGTTCAGCTACTTGTTTAAGTATGCTGACAAAACTGACCACCAAATCCTTGAACGAGCTAACATCTCTATTTATAAGATCTAGAAGAGGGCAAAGTGTCGCACCCATGACACCAGGATCATTATCGCATAGCCTCTGCAGTAAAAAGCCTCACATTATACTCACAAGATTGAAACTCATAAATCCAGATGTAAGGAGAACAGAACTGTTTAATATGACTTGGATGGATAAAGGAACCAAAAGGAGAGTTCTTTGTGTACTTGTAAACCAAAGTTTATCGCGGTCACAACAAACTAATAAATTCAACAACAGTTTATCTTGAATTATATTTGTGAATAGAATGGCCATTGTTAATTTAAGCTTGATTCCTAGAACCTTTCAACTGATCAGCCATTACAAAGTCAGCTAGCAACTTCAACCATCACGTAACCTATTTATCAAAAACCAACATGAATTTCCCGGACTCCACATTGAGAAAACCGTTTCCTCTAAGGAATATCTGAAGAAGATGGACACGTGATAATGGGGTATCAACCTACCTTTCGGAAGTTGGAGACGAGGTGAGAAACAGAGGAAGGAGACTTCTGATGGAAGCGATGCAGAGCCATGATAGCCTTCTTCCTCACAGCCTCCTTCTGATGGCCCAACAACTCCACCACCTGCGGCAGAACAGCAGGGATGGTTTCCTCGTTGATCAACTTACAGACCGCATTCAATGCAGCGCAAACGATCAGGAAGTTATCGGATTTCAAGTCCTTCTGAATGGTGTTCACGATCAGGATGATCAAATCGTGATCCTCATTAAGAAAGAGAGTGACCGCCAAGTACCCAGTTCGCTTAAGGAACAAATTATCGTCGTGAGTCATCTTCACGGCGTGGATGTACCCAAAAGAAGCGTCGTGGCCGAGCATCTCAATGTAGACCAGCCGGATAATGTACTCCTTCATCTTGCGCTTTGGGATTCCGGGCTCCACGAGGCGACGCTTGAGGGTTTCGATCTCGCCGAGGACTATGCGGTCCTCCTCCGCCTTGGATCGGGCTTCGCCGATTGACTTGACCAGATCGAGGAACTCCTTCGATTGGCCGATTCCGCCTTGGGAGCCCATTGCGAGCTCCCGCCCAATCGATTTGAGCTGCTCCAGTTTTGCTCAATCTGTAAATGCTTTCCCGATCCAACAGCAGAGAGATCGATGGAGAGAATTCTAGGGTTTTGGGGAGGAAAACAGACGCATTCAAAGGAATTCTGCAATTCTGTTTGCCCCTCGCGAGAGCTCAGATAAAGGAGAACTTCAATTCCAATCGGCTCAATGCGCAGGAGAACGACGGGAGAGTGTGTCCGAGCCGGTTTGGATCTCACTTCTCAATAGTCGGAGGTCGTTAGGGTGAGACGGAAGAAAATATTTTACAGAGGATGGTGAAGAAGAAGAACAAGAGAACGGAAACATTTTGGAATTAGTACATTCAATCCTTGTGTGAAAGTTTCCTAACGTTCTAATCCAGTAAACTTTGGTTTTTGACTTTTCAATCCTTTACCGTATGCCAAGTTCTAATTCCAGCCCAATAATTTATTTGGCCCAAGAGAAGTGCAGGCTTAAGCCCACGTGACTTGTTAGTTCAAATAAGTAAACAGCTTGAACCCAAATTCTGCGATCAATAGCGTCCGTCGTTAATGGTGGATGTAACTTTGTCTTACGTTCTGTGGGACGGGATCGAAATGGGAAGGCTCATTTAGTGGTCATAGAATCCCTGATTTTGTCACCTCGGCTTCTAGCGAGGTTCGACTTCGTGTTTTGGCTTCGTAGTTTATAAAAACTCTGTATTGAACTTATCTTATGGCAAAAAAAAAAAAAAAACTAACAAGCTCTCACCAAAAGAAAATTAATGAACAAATGACCCATATACTTTGGCCGATTTATTATTATACAAACACAAAATCCCCTGCTTTCCTCTGCTTCTTCCAAATGACCAAAGTATATGATATAGAAACTATAAAAAGAGTTTACCTAATGTACAAGTTGATTTATCACACAACTGACTTCTCAAAATATGTGTGACAAAAATAATTTATTATAGTCGAAGGCAAGCATGTAACGAATGGCCATGATATAGATGATGGACAGGTTTTGTGGTCAGACTGCTACATTAAGTATAATGATATGGCTAAATCGATATTAAAAATGTACTCTTATAAACCCCATATCCGAAGCCAAGTTCGAACGTTGCATAATTCTCATAAATTCAATTGGTGTGATTGTCGTTCCAACTCCAATCTTGTTCTCTATGTCTATAAGACACTGTTAATCCCCTGTTCTGTTAGGTCGATACTCAAATTTGTTATCACAGATTTCTCATGCGATGATACATTTGAATAATGGTCCGAGCATAATTTTGAATAACAAAAGCTATTCATTCAGATACGAGAATTCAACACCATTTATACATATAAATCAAAACAACCCACGTGTGAAAAGACATAACATACCGATAAAATATATATCACGAGATGCTCATATTAACGATGAATTAATATAATGAATGGTACATGGTTCTTGCAATATACAGCTAGCCTAACCTAGTACTCCACGTTTTGTTGTTTGCCCTTGAATTCGACGTAAGCTTAAAATTAGTGTGCCCTTTCTATAAGCAAATGACTGGAAGGAAGAATTGGGCGGGCCCATTGCCAGTATGTTCTGGTTGAGCACGCTACGCAACCCATCGGTTTTGATCCATTAAAGGCCCACAACTTGCCGCCGATGTTTTTGGCCTTTTTTTTTTTTTTTTTTTACGAAACGATCACTTGCATTAACAAGAAAACCAAGTTACATATGACCCAGCTCCAACCGGAGCCAAGCATGGAAATCAAACGCATTACAATTCGTAGGAAACAAAGACAGGGCTTTCTGAGCCACCAGATGGGCTACCCAATTGTTCTCCCTACCCACAAACATGATCCGGAACCCTGGCACTGCCGAAAGGAGATGACGAATTTCCTCAAAAATGGCCCCCCCAGAAGCATCCGCAACACCCCCAGCGTTGACCTTATCAATAACCACCTTCGCATCTCCCTCCAGCAAAACCGACTCCAAACCCCACCGTTGGCACCACCTGATGGCATCCCGAAGCGTTGATAGCTCCGCCAACATTGGACTCTGGAGACCGCTGTAAGTCACCCCTCGAACACCCAACACCATCCCGGCCGCATCACGCAGAACCATTCCACCAGCCGCATGTGACCCCTCCCGGACTGCACCATCAAAGGAACAGATAGCACCGAACGGATCCCTGTGGCTGACCTGACCACCCACATTATGCGCCAAAACCTGAGAGGCACCCCCTCCTCCCCCATCCTGCGGAACCTGTAGCCACTCATTCACCTGAAAAAGGAACTCCTGTCGAAGAATAGATGGCAGGGTTTGAATCCCCTCAAAAGCTACCGAGTTTCGACCCTTCCAAATTCTCCACAGACAGCAAACCAACCGCACAACCCGGGAAGGCGACGCATCGCGATCCAAGAATCGCCGGAAAAAAATATTAAAGCTCCCAGTGGGCAAGGTGTCCAACTCAGCCGCCAGCCCCGCCGCATCCCACAGCCCACGCGCCACGCGGCACTGCAAGAAAAGGTGTTCAATCGACTCCTCGTTCGCCCAACAGACCGGGCATCGAGCAAGAACCAACACCTTCTTCTCCCGCAACGCCTCCATAGTCGGCAAAATTCTCTGCAGGATTTCCCACACAAAGAATTTGAGCTTAGGCTGAATTGGTAACCCCCACACTCTAATCCATAATCCCCGATCCATAGTGCTACAATCCGGCTTTCCCACCCAATTTCTTTGGGAAATCCTCTCCGCCAATCGATATCCGGACTTCACCGTATAACTCCCAGAGGAATCCTCCCTCCAAACAAGCCTATCCGGCATAGGTTCTCTTGGAAGAGGGATCTGCAGAATAGCTCTGACCGTCGCCGGGGTGAAAACCTCATCTAGGCAATGCCGGCACCATTCCCCGGTATCCGGATCCATCAAATCCGCCACCCTCTCATTACCCTCCACAGGAGCTTCAGCACGTAAGACAGGGGGGGAAGGATGCAACGCCGGAATCCACCCCTCCGCCATTATCGGGATAGTCTCCCCGGATCCTACCTGCCAGGCCATCCCCTGTCGCAGTAACTGGCATCCAAAGAGCACACCCTGCCATCCCCAGGAAGGCCTAGACCGCGCCGAGGCCGTGAATATGGTCCCCTCCGGAAAATACTTTGCTTTATAAATCTGCGCTAGCAAAGAGTCCGGCTCCGAGTGAACGCGCCATGCCACTTTCGCCAACAAGGCTTGATTGAACAGCTCAAAACGCCGGAAACCCAACCCTCCCGCATGCTTACTTCGACAAAGCTTCTTCCATGATATCCAATGGCTTTTAGGTCGTCCCTCAACAAACCCCCACCAAAACCGGGCCATATGCCCGTCCAATTTCCTGCATGAAGTAACAGGGATCCTGAAACACGCCATCGCATGTACCGGTAAAGCAGTCGCAACCGATTTTAGCAGGGTCTCCTTAGCCGCCCTGGATAAATGCTTCTGCTTCCAACCCTGTATCCTTTGCAAGAGCTTTTCCTCTAAGAATCGGAAGGTTTCTGCCTTTGACCGAGCAACCAGGGATGGGAGCCCCAAGTACTTATCTTGGGTCCCAATCGCCCCTACCCTCAGCAGCCCTGCCATTTCAGCTCTCTCCTCTGCTAGAACATTAGCACTAAAACACACTGCGGATTTAGCAAGATTCACCTTCTGTCCACTCAGCGCTTCATACTCAGTCAACACATTGAGGAGGTCATTGCATCTTTGAGACGACGCTCGAATAAACAAGTAAGAGTCATCCGCAAAAAACAGATGAGATACCCGCGGGGCCCGAGGGCTCACCCGAACACCTTCAATTTTTCGCCTCTCACTTGCCTGGCGAAGCAAAGCTGCAAAACCCTCCGTACACAGGACAAAGAGTAAAGGGGACAACGGATCCCCCTGTCTCAATCCCCTGGTGGAACGGAAGAAACCCGAAGGCCTCCCATTCATCATGACCGAGAAACTAGCAGACGAAACACACTCCCTAATCCAACTAATCCATAATGGGCTAAAACCCAATTTCTTTAAGATCGCCAGTAAGAACGGCCACTCTACTCTATCATAGGCCTTTTCCATATCAACCTTCAGAGCTAAGTATCCCTTCTTACCTTTCTTCTTAATTTTCAAATAGTGCATAATCTCATGGCCAATAAGAACATTATCAACAATTTGCCGTTCCCGGATGAAAGCATTCTGACCAGGTGAAACAATATCTGGTAGAAAGCTCGCCATCCTTTCCGCCATAATTTTCGATATGATTTTATAGACCACTTGACAAAGACTAATTGGTCGCAACTGGCGCATGTTTTCCACCGTATCCACTTTAGGGATCAACGTGATCCAAGTGTGATTGAAACTTCGTAAAATACGCCCATTCACAAAGAATGATTGTACAGCCGCAATCACCGATGGCCCAACAATGTCCCAAAAGCTCTTAAAAAATTTGCCAGTGAACCCGTCCGAACCTGGAGCCTGCGTAGAGCCTATCGAAAAGACCGTACGCCGGATCTCCTCCGGGGTCACTTCTGCCGTGAGGCTAGTGTTCATCACATCCGTGACTTTCTGATCAATGGGCAAGGCATTCACCTTGTCCCAAATATCAGTCTCCTCAGCTCCCGTCGTGAATAGGTGAGAGTAAAAACCCACAGCTAAGTTCGCCTTGGCCTCCTCTTCCACTACCCACTCGCCAACCTCATTCTGTAATCTCTCTACGAAATTCCGGCGTCTCCGCGCTCTTGTGACAGTATGAAAGTACGAGGAATTTTGATCCCCCACCTTCAACCACCGAACCCTGGACTTTTGACACCAGTATTTCTCTTCTTCCGCCCATTTTATTGTGAGTTCCCGCTCCAGACTATTGACCCGATCCCAATCGACAGGGAACTCTTCCTTTAGCGCACCAATTTCGGTCTCCAGAGTCCGAATTTGCCGCGCAGAGTTCGAGGTACCCTTCCGGCTCCAGCTATGCAATCTATGACGCAATCTCTTCAACCGGGTCCACAACTGGTACATCGGAGAGCCCTGCACCTGCTCGCCCCAAACCTCCTCCACCATAGGCTTTACTTCCGGATTCTCCGCCCATCGTGCGTCAAACCGAAAGAGAGACCTCGCCACCCTTGTGAAGGCTTTATCCGATACAATTAGGCCCCTGTGATCCGATCCCAGATCCGTTCCATGATTCACCATCGTCTCCGGGAAAATCTCCGCCCAGCGATCCGACGCAAACGCTCTATCCAACCGCTCTTGAATACAGGCATCCCCCATTCGTCTATTAGACCAAGTGAAAGGGTTCCCGCGGAACCCCAAATCGTGGAGTC